TATCTTAAAAATAACAGCTAGAAACCAAATAACAACAATCACAGTGATATCAATACTAGTGTTTGATCCTTGTCTTCCTTGCCTTCCTTGTCTTCTTTGTCTTCCTTGTCTTCCTTGTCTTCCTTGCCCTGAACTCGTTGATGGATTCTTAATGTTGTATTGTTCTTGGCATGTTGAAACATTTGCATCAGTCCATCGGAAGAATCCACACCCATTACCGGATGAATATTTTTGGCAACCCCAAAACATTCTTCCAGGATTAGTTGGTGTTCTTGATGTCTTTAGTTCAGCATATATTCCACAGTAGCAACATCGAACCGTCATTGTGAAGACCAACAAAATCAAACCAACAAAAATACAATAGAACCACACAAAAAAAAAGATGAAACAAAAATACAATAGAATCACACACAAAAAAAAGATGAGTAGATCGAAGGAAAAAATAAAGGCACCAAAAATAAAAGAGAAGAAAATTTGAAAAGACAAAATCGAGAAAAAAGGAGAAAAAAGCTCAAATTTGTCCAACAATGGTGTTGAGTGAAAATAAAGAAGAAGAGATGGCCTTTAAAGGTCAAAATCCAATGGAACAGTAACTAACAGTGAAGAAGAAAAAAGAAGAAGTTAAGCTGAAACTAGCTAATTACGGCTAGGGTATATTTCATTGATAATGTTAATAAGAAGAACATTACAATATATAGTACCTTAACCCTAGATGACTCACTATCCTCCTCCTCCTTAAGAGATAAGGAACATACAGTACTATTTCTGCAGGAAAAGTAAAAGGACTAGATAGGGACCTTTCTAACAATTATGGGGTCCAAAGTGTAAATAACATAACTTCAGGGAAAAGCAAATAAAGGAATAAACAGTCTAACCAACATAACGGCTAGGTACCACTAAGCAAGCCTAAGGTACACCCCTCAACAGCCTCCATCTCCTTGCTTGGACTCTCCTCCACCTCAATCTGCATCATTACTCCTTCCTTCGAAACTTCCTTGTCCTCAAGGAAGAATGAAGGGAACCTTGTCTTGATCACATGATAATCTTCCCAAGTGGCTTGCTCTTTAGACATGTTCTTCCAATGTATCAAGAGTTGAGCCACAGCCTTATTTCCCTTTTTGATCATCCTTCTTTCTAAGATGCACCTGGGCTCCTCACAGTAAGGACTAGCAGGGTCAACAATGGGTGGGTGAGTGAACTGAGCAGGCACCTCATGACATAGCTTCAGCTGAGAGACATGGAATGTGGGATGGATAGATATTTGAGGAGGTAAGAGGAGCTTGTAAGCTACTGGCCCCACTTTTTGAATCACTTGATAAGGACCATAAAACTTGGCTGATAGCTTGGTGAATGACTGGTTAGACACAGTAGTCTGTCTATACGGTTGTATTTTGAGATAGACCCAATCTCCAACCTGTAATTGCCTGTCACTCCTCCCTTTATTTGCCAAAGATTGCATTCTTTGTTGAGCTCTATGCAAGTGAAATCTGAGTAATTGGATCTTGAGCTCCCTGGTGACCAGACTTCTATCTACTTCTTCATCAATAGAGTCACCAGCCATATAGGGTAAATGTATGGGTGGGGGCTGCCCATATAATGCTTCATATGGAGTGGTCTGGATAGCAGAGTGGAATGTGGTGTTGTACCACCATTCTGCCATGGGCAAATAAAGGGACCAATCTTTTTGGCTGTCACTACAATAACATCTAAGGTAGGTCTCAAGAGTCCTGTTTAACACTTCAGTCTGACCATCAGTTTGAGGATGGTAAGCAGTTGAAGTGCTCAAGGTGGCTCCATGTGCTGAGAATAGCTCTTGCCAAAACCTACTGATGAATATGGGATCCCTGTCACTCACTATGTTCTCTGGCATGCCATGAAGTTTGAAGACCTGATCCAGGAAGGCTTGTGCAACAGTAGCAGCTGTATAAGGGTGGCTTAAAGCTATGAAATGACTGCTTTTAGTCAGCCTATCAACTACTACCATGATGGTAGTTTTTCCTTTTGACTTTGGAAGGCCCTCAATGAAGTCCATGCTAATGTTGGACCAAGCTGATGTAGGAATGGCTAGTGGCTGCATGAGGCCTGGGGATGCTGCAGCATCATACTTGCTCCTTTGGCATACAGAACAATTTCTAACATACTCGTTAATGTTATCTCTCAAATTCTTCCAGTAGAATAGCTGGGATATCCTCCTATATGTGTTTTCCATTCCTGAGTGACCACTACTGGTTCTATTATGCCAAATCTGCATTATGTCTTGCCTGAGTTGCTCATCCTGTCCTACCACTATCTTACCATATCTTCTTAGCTGTTGATTGTAATAAGTAAACCCTTTTTGGCCCTCCCCTTGATCTATTATCTTCCGGATGACTTCCTTCAACTTATCATCTCTGTCCCAGCTGGTCTTGATCCTATGGAAAAGGTTAGTTTCCACAGGGATAACAGACAACAAGAATAAATGTGCTGCTGGCACCCTGGAAAGAGAATCAGCAGCCTTATTCTCTCTTCCCTTCTTGTATTCAATCTGGAAGTCAAATTGCATTAGTTTGGCTATCCATTTCATCTGAGTACCTGTGTGTAACTTCTGATCCAGTAAAAACTTTAGGGCCTTCTGGTCTGTTCTTACTACAAATTGTCTCCCTAAAAGATATTGGGACCATTTGGTTACTGCCAGGACCAAAGCTAGTAATTCCTTGTCATACACAGACAAACCTTAATGCCTACTTCAACTTATCATCTCTGTCCCAGCTGGTCTTGATCCTATGGAAAAGGTTAGTTTCCACAGGGATAACAGACAACAAGAATAAATGTGCTGCTGGCACCCTGGAAAGAGAATAAGCAGCCTTATTCTCTTTTCCCTTCTTGTATTCAATCTGGAAGTCAAATTGCATTAGTTTGGCTATCCATTTCATCTGAGTACCTGTGTGTAACTTCTGATCCAGTAAAAACTTTAGGGCCTTCTGGTCTGTTCTTACTACAAATTGTCTCCCTAAAAGATATTGGGACCATTTGGTTACTGCCAGGACCAAAGCTAGTAATTCCTTGTCATACACAGACAAGCCTTGATGCCTAGGTGCTAGTCCCTTGCTTAGATAAGCTAGAGGATGCCCTTCTTGCATCAAGACTGCCCCAATTCCAGTGTCACAGGCATCAGTCTCCACTACAAACTGTAGTGTGCTGCTAGGCAAGCTGAGTACAGGTGCACTTATCAAAGCTCCCTTGAGCTGGTTGAAAGCCATTGTTGCCTTGTCATTCCAAACAAACCCTTCCTTCTTAAGAAGATCAGTCAAGGGCTTGCTTATCCAACCATACCTTCTTATAAATCTTCTGTAGTAACCAGCCAACCCCAAGAATCCCCTCAGCTCTTTCACAGATTTAGGAGTTGGCCATTCTTGAACAGCAACAATCTTCTTAGGATCAGTGGCCACACCTTCAGCAGAAATGAAGTGTCCTAGATATTCCACCTTAGAAGCTCCAAAAGAACATTTGCTTTTCCTGACTAAGAGTTGGTGTTTGATCAACAGGTCAAAGACAACTTTCAAGTGTTGTAGATGCTCCTCCATGTTCTGACTATAGACAAGGATGTCATCAAAGAAAACTAAGATGAATTTCCTGAGATGGTCCTTGAATACATGGTTCATGAGTCCCTGGAAGCTAGAGGGAGCATTTGTGAGACCAAAGGGCATCACTAGGTATTCAAAGTGACCTGAGTGTGTCTTGAAGGCAGTCTTCTGCACATCTTCTTGGGCCATTCTTATCTGGTGATAGCCTGACCTTAAGTCCAGCTTCGTATAAACCCTTGAACCCCCCAACTCATCCAACAATTCCTCGATGATAGGAATAGGAAACTTGTCCTTGATGGTGATCTTGTTCAAGGCCCTGTAATCCACACACAATCTCCAAGAGCCACCCTTCTTCCCCACTAGCACCACAGGTGAGGCATAAGGGCTACAACTTGGTTGTACAATGCCTTGGTCAAGCATTTCTTGGACTAGCTGTTCAATGATGTCCTTTTGCCTTGAGGAATACCTGTAAGGTCTATTGTTCACGGGATAACTATCCTTTTGCAATGGAATCCTGTGATCAAAAGTGGACCTAGAAGGAGGAAGTTGTTTTGGATCACCAAATAACAGGTGGAACTCCTCAGTCAATGCTATAATTCCAGGGTGTATTTCTCTTGTTGTTTCTACTGCTGAGTTTTCTGTGGGCAAGACTCTAATCATGAACAATTGTCCACCATTTTGAGTCATTTTATCCAACCCCTTGGCATTAACCATCCTGGTATTCTCCTTATTTCCCTGCAGCTGCACCTTCTGACCTTGGTACATAAAAGCCAAGGTGAGTTTTTGGAAGTTCAGCTGGAGGTCTCCCAAGGGTAACAACCACTGCACCCCTAAGATCATATCACAAGATCTCAAAGGAAGCAATAAGAAGTTATCCACAAAAGTGGTCCCTTGCATCATCCAGGGAAGACCCTTGCACATCTCAGTGGTTTGTCTGTTTCCTCCATCTGCAACATTGATGGACTGAGGTCTGACCATTAGCACCTCAAGCTCTAACTGTCTGGCCACTTCTTCATCAATGAAGTTGTGAGTGCTACCTGGATCTATGAGAATATTAAGGGGTCTTTTTTCACTGTACCCCACCACCCTAAGTGTGTGAAATCCAGGAATTCCATTCAAGGCATGAATGGAGATCTCACACTTCTCCACACCTTCAGCTTCCACTTCAGGTACCTCTTGGACATCTGGTTCAGGCTCCTCTTCTGGTTCTTCTTCATCACATACCTCCAGCAAGTATAGTTGTTTAGCAGCATTACACTTGTGACCAGGGACAAACTTCTCATCGCAAAAGAAGCAGAGGCCCTTCTGTCTTTTTTCACTCATCTCAGCTGGAGAGAGTCTCCTGGTGTTGCTTCTATTGAGGCTCACACTGTGATCCCTTTTTGGGGCCTGATATTCCTTTCTATTAATGACTCCCCTGTTACTAACCCCAAGAAATGCTCCCTTGTTTTGGCTAGATCCCCCACTGTACATAGAAGATTTAGCCAACCTGAGTTGGGCATTCACCTGAGCTTCAGTGTTTCTTGCCAGTTGGTATGCCTGGGGTAATGAATAAGGCCTATGGTTCTTTACAGTGAACCCTATCTCTGGTTTCAGCCCAGTGATAAAGGCACTGATTGCATATTCTGGAAGTAGAACCAACCTTGTCATGATCCTATCAAATTCTTTTTGATAATCTTCTACAAGGCCATTCTGTTTAACCAGCTTTAACTCAGACATGGGGTCTGCATACTCAGCTCCAAACCTATCCATCAATGCATACACATATTCCTCCCAAGAAGGAAGGGAAAGGTGGTTCCTGCTCCTAATGTAAGCCAAATGCCACTCAATGGCTATGTCATCAAAATGAATGGAAGCCACTTTAACCCTTTGACTGTAATCTATTTCATCCAAGGAAAAAAACTAGCTCCACCTTGCACAACCAAGCTCTCAAGTTAGTGCCATTAAAACGAGGGAACTCCAGCTTTGTCATTCTTGTCATAGTTAGACCACCATGGTGATGATTGGTCTGCATAGATGGTCCTGTAGCACCATCTCCTCCTTGTGTTCCCACTGGTTCAAGGCCGGTTGGGAGGGAATGAGAGTTCTGACCCATGTTAGCAGAACTTTGGGGCATAAAGTTTACTCCTAAAGGATATCCTGCTGGGGAGTAAGGAGGCATTGTTGGTCTTCCTGTAGGGGGAGGTACCCATGCCATTGGATTCCCTGAGGGAGTGTAAATCTCCCCACTGCCATCTTGACCCTCAACACTCTTTCCTCTATCAAACCTTCTCACTTCATCCAAAGATTCTTTAAGCTCACCAAAAACCTTCTCATGTTGGTTTTCCCATTGAGTTTGTCTAACAGTAAGGTTAGCAAGCTCTATTGTCATTCTCTCAAACATAGATTTGATTTCATTCATCTCAGAACCCATAGCTAGATACCACAGAGCTCAAGAAAGTGCTCTGATACCAAATGATACAGAATAGAAGAGCTGGTACTTAGCAATGAAACAGTAACTAACAATGAAGAAGAAGAAAAGAAGAAGTTAATCTGAAACTAGCTAATTACGGCTAGGGTATATTTCATTGCTAATGTTAATAAGAAGAACATTACAATATATAGTACCTTAACCCTAGATGACTCACTATCCTCCTCCTCCTTAAGAGATAAGGAACATACAGTACTATTTCTGCAGGAAAAGTAAAAGGACTAGATAGGGACCTTTCTAACAATTATGGGGTCCAAAGTATAAATAACATAACTTAAGGGAAAAGCAATAAAGGGACGTAAATAACATAACTTCAGGGAAAAGCAAATAAAGGAATAAACAGTCTAACCAACATAACGGCTAGGTACCACTAAGCAAGCCTAAGGTACACCCCTCAACAGCCTCCATCTCCTTGCTTGGACTCTCCTCCACCTCAATCTGCATCATTACTCCTTCCTTCGAAACTTCCTTGTCCTCAAGGAAGAATGAAGGGAACCTTGTCTTGATCACATGATAATCTTCCCAAGTGGCTTGCTCTTTAGACATGTTCTTCCAATGTATCAAGAGTTGAGCCACAGCCTTATTTCCTTTTTTTATCATCTTTCTTTCTAAGATGCACCTTGGCTCCTCACAGTAAGGACTAGCAGGGTCAATAATGGGTGGGTGAGTGAACTGAGCAGGCACCTCATGACATAATATTATCATCGGCGATACTGGTAATTTTTTATTCCTTTTGCTTAGCTACGAGTTTGAACTTTTTTTGTTATAACTTTACATGATTTTGAATCTGATTAATAAGTTTTTGTTGTAAATTTGGTTATCGGCGATGCTAATTTGATTGATTTTCAGCTTTTTCTGCATTTTGATAAATAGGTTGTGTAAATTTAATGTTTTTGTACTTGTGAGTACTGATTATGGATCTCAAAAAAAATAATACTTTCTGAGGTTCTATTGTAGTGATTCTTAATGAAATATATGGCAATTGTGTATATGCTGATATCTAAGCTAGCGGTTAGCAGAGATTTTGAGGATAGTTTTTGAAAATTTATAGACAAATATCTGTTTGGCCATGAATTTGGTAAGTGTTTGAAAATTTGATGTTCAATTATTAGTTTGACACTGAAATTTGATCAGATTATGAAAATCTGAGTTCAAATATTTTCAAGTGTTTTTGGGACTTCCATCCACAAAGTAAAATGCATGTCCAAACACAACTTCAGATTCCAAAAATTAGAACTTCAAAAGCTCAATTTTTCATGTTTCAAGTTTCAACTTCAAAATATATGGCCAAACAGGGGCTAAGTACTTATTGTAGCGATTCTTCTGAAAGATATGGAATTGAGTATATGCTGCTATCTAAGAACTAGCATGTTAATCGGCTTCTATTTTTTTTTGCTGGATTTCATAAATTCGTAGACATACAATCAATTTTGCATGATTTTGAATCTGATTTATAGTTTTTGCTGTAATTTTGGTAACTTGGCAATGCTAATTTGATTGGTTTTCATTTTTTCTGCATTTTGCATCTAATTAATAGGTTCTCTTGATAACTTGGTTTTGTGTATTTGGTAAGCTAGAGTTTCGGCATTTTAGCCTGATTTTTATCAATATTGATTGTTTACTTGTCATTGAGGTCTATTTAGTTTGTAGCTTGTTTGTTGAAAGTCTTTAGAGTAGGGCAAGAAATAGCATCTACAAAGTTGTCAATCTGCAGTTGCCCAGTTTAGTTTTACGGTTTCCAGTGTTAAAATAGCAGTGTTATCAAAAGTGAAAAGAGCAGAAAAGCTCTAACATCCGTTCGGACTTTAAGCGCAAAGAAAAATAAACCTTTGGTTTTACTGAAAAAAGTGCAAATGGAGAGAAAATACAAATATATATGGTTAATCCATGATCCATGTTACCAAAAACAACAACCGAAAAATGCTCTAAGGTCCGTTGGGGCATTAAGCCAGGTGTAGTGCTCAACATATTTTGGGCCTTGCTTCATGGCTTAAGCACGCCTTTGACAACACTGTCCAAGACTAATAATTATTAGCATGAACAACAAATATATAGTCAAAGAATTGGAAAAAGAATAACGTGTTTAGTATTGCCCCTTCAAGAAACACTCATTGGCAAGAAAAGTATGTCTTAGAGCCTTGATGACAGCACTGAAGCACACATCAAGCGAGGGGAAGCACTCAACATGTTTTGAGTCTTGTTCCAGGGTTTAAGCGCGCCATTGACAACACTGTAAAATAATCGAGCAGTTTTAGAAATTACCTGCACAGCTTCTTTGGACTCGCTGTGTATTTTTTTTACAAGGATTTGCTAAATGCATGCCCTCATAGATAAATAATAGAGAACTGGAAAATGCTTTCAAAAAGCATGAAAGACTTTAGTTTGTGGAAGTTACAATACTCACTCTCTGAATGCTCATGTTCCTAATTTCAATGTTTTAAGAGGTGAATTAGACATGAATTTGTACCTTTATCATGAAATCAGTTACTCAAGAGCATCGCCACCCGTTATGACAAAATTCCATGCCAACACATATTCTCTTAGAGACTCTCAAACTCAATGTGATTCTAAACTCTTTACTGCTTATCTGATTGTTATTTTACTATGATTCTCTATGATTTATTGCTATTTCTGGACTCACAGAATGCCTCTTTTAGATTTTATTGTGCCATGAAAGAGTGCAACCTTCCCATCCCTGTTTGAAAAGTCATTTCTTACAATGCATTAGATTATACTGTGTGATGTCCATGCATATGTTACTTAAAGTCTTGTGCAAGACATCACTTATAAAGATATAATGTTCTCTGTACAGGAGTTGGAAAGTCATGTCTACTTTTGCAATTTACGGACAAACGGTTTCAACCAGTCCATGACCTGACCATCGGGGTTGAATTTGGAGCTCGAATGATCACAATCGACAACAAACCAATAAAACTACAGATCTGGGACACGGTTAGTGAGACAAACTTTCTCTTCTTCTGTTTTCGCTTAGTATGTTATGTAGAATGTTGGGATAAATGCCTATAGAACTAAATAGTTCAGTTTATCATCTTTTTTTAAAAAATAAAATCATTTGGAGCTTAATCTAAATGAGACCAAGTCCTCATCCTAGTTTTCATCTCTAAATGTGCTATCACTAAAGTCTAAAAGCATGTTCTTATAAATGTTCTCGTTTCAGGCTGGTCAAGAATCATTCAGATCCATCACAAGGTCATATTACAGAGGGGCTGCGGGCGCATTACTTGTTTATGATATTACAAGGTAGCACGAATCTTTGTCACTTTGGATAAGGGAATTTGACACTTTCATAATGCATGTAACTCTAGGAGCCTAGGAGGTGTACTTCTTTATGTGTAATTTAACTTCGGTTAGAAATTCCAGTAGAGTAACTTGCTGCCCTGAAGATCTCATTTAAAATGGCTGCAACTCAAATATATTGTAGTCTTTTAGCTAAACTAATTAAGGAACATCACATTTTAGTCTATCATAGCAACGACATATCTGATGGTGTTATGATCATGATAAGCTAATATATTCTGGACTAAGGAGAGGAATAAAAAAATTGGTCAAGATAATAAGAAGTGCAAAAGATAATGGATGAGCATTGAACTTCCAGAGCAGCAGCTCTGCCAGTTAGTGAGCTGGAGTAATATAGTTTTCAAGCCTTTTTTGTTCCTAAAATCTGTAATGCACTTAATACTCTTCATGGTCCAATTGAAACTTTATGTGGGAGTAAAGTTACGCATCTGTTTTACGAAGTCTACTTCCATTAGAGAATGCAAACAAGGGGAAAATATATTACTATATGAAATCAGGATAGCCTGATTTGCGTGTCTATTATATCTGCTCGCATTATTTTAGTTGGTCACAAGGTTTTGAATGTTTTCTCCAAAATAAATAGGAGGGAAACATTTAATCACCTTGCTAGTTGGTTAGAAGATGCAAGACAGCATGCAAATGCAAACATGACCATAATGCTGATTGGGAACAAGTGTGATCTGGCTCATAGAAGGGCTGTAAGCACAGAAGAAGGTGAGCAGTTTGCCAAAGAAAACGGATTGATATTTATGGAGGCCTCAGCTAAAACAGCTCAGAATGTTGAAGAGGTAAGGAATTTTCTGATCTGACAGGTCTTTTGAGGTTTTCAGTCCTACCATGGAAGTTCTCTCTATTCAAATTTAAATTTTGGTTCTTTACTGGATGATCTCTTTTCTGCATTATTCAGGCTTTCATCAAAACAGCCTCAACAATCTATAAGAAAATACAGGATGGAGTGTTTGATGTATCGAATGAGGTATGCCACACCTTGATTGCTGATTTTGAGTATGCTCAATATGTTTTTTGATGATCATGACTAGTTGATGTCGTTACCTGTCTGAGATGAAGTACTTTTGCAATTGTCTATTTATACCCGGAAAAAGAAACCTCTTTTAGAGTAATATGGAAATAGTAGAGAAAAACAGTGATTCACATCCAATTTAGTCTACACATCATATTTGGTTCATTCTGGTCCTGTTACCAATTGTTATTATTACAACCAAGAAATCCTGAAAGGCCAGCTGGCGCATGGGTCAGAGCTTGGTGGATAATGAGCTCACACTCTACCCTTTTCCACTTAAGTATCAAACCTTGTTGTTAACAAATATTAGTATCTCATTAGTTTAAAGAACATATTGGAAAGTCTGGAGGATTTTTCCTTCAAAAAATATTAGTGGATTCTATCCAAAACTAATTGGGTAACTTGCCGACATTTTACATGAAACAAGGTGAACCGTCTGGGGACACCCTCATCCATTGCATGGTGGGTCTGGTTCAAGGGCGCATATGTCCTGGCTATATGCAGCTAATTGCTGCTCTTACAGCTTCTACAATCCCAGTTATATCTAAAAAATTTGTGAAATATAAAAAAGAAATATCCACCCCCTGATGATTTCAAATTACATTATATCATTAGAAGTTCACACAATAATGCGAGCACTCTTTCATTCATCCAACTTTTGATCCCCTAAAAGTAATTTAGATGGGGAGTGATGGTAAATTGGTGATTGATAGAGAACCAGATTGTAGCACATACCACTAAGAAGAGGTTGCCTGCTTTCTTAATGTTTTTGTGCCAATGAGATTATTTATTTACATTTTGTATAATTCTCCCGTCTACTTGGATATTTTTCTGCAGTCCTATGGAATAAAAGTTGGATATGGAGGCATTCCTGGACCATCAGGTGGAAGAGATGGAGCTGCTTCTCAAGGAGGGGGTTGTTGCACTTAAAATTTTAAAATCATTATTCAAACTTGATCATGTTCTCATCATCTCTATGCCAGCCGTCATCACGGGTCTTTCCTTCTTATCTTTCAGAGGTCTCTTTGATTTGTTTTAATGATGTTATCTGGGCAAAAATAAGCCAAATTCAGTAAATAGTGGACAGTCCATCTTTGTGTGCCCCCGTGTATAAAAGTTGACATTACAAAATGTGAATAGAATTCCTTATATCTTGTGTGCTTGTGTGAATGAGAAATATTGAACTACACTTGCCCGCCCTTCTTTTCTGTTCCAAGTCTTGGGTGTCAATTTTCTTCTTCTTGTACAGTATCTTAACACAAGGTACAGGCAACACGATCGCTGCCAGAGTAACTGGCACAAATAGCCGCATCTTATCAATGGAGAAAGATACCTTATATTAGATGTTTGAGAACGAAGAAAAAGTATGACTACTTTTAGTATTGTAGTAACTCCGCACCTTCAACTAATTCAAGCAATTCAGTCAGTAGGAAAGTCATATCACTGAACATTGGTTGTCGTTTCATACGGAGCAAGGTATGGCTCACCTATTAACTTTTACTATTTTACTTCATTATGTTCTGGAAACTTGGTGAGATGGTCAATAATCAAGACATCCACTTCCCTTTGTTCTATTTTATGTTTCTCCTGGAAATATTGTACAGATAGTTAACCTTTCCATTCGGTTTGATGAGAACAACAATAGTATTCAGTCAGTGTCTTAAGATTGAGGTGGATACAGTGGCGGAGTCAGAAATTTTAATAAGAGAATCTAAACAATACATAGATGTCATACAACCATGAATCAGTGAGGTTTGAGGTGTCAACTAAAAAACAATTTATTTGAATTTTTCCTTTGAATGAATCGTATCAACTGAACTCTTACGAAATTATGTAAGCAAGCAAAACTTTTTGTACTTTTGATTGGTGACTGCTACAATGCCATATGGATTCCATTCCCAGGTAAATTCACTCTAACTATGCTTCAGTCCTAAGCTAATTGATGATCGACTATATGAATCTTCACTAATCATTTTGCTATTTATCAACAATAACATATCAAAAGAGTTCATCAGAAGTCCTTTTCCTTTTTGCTATTTACTTTCTAGCTCTCTGCTGAATAACTTCATGTTCAGTGATGTAGGATTTTGTTTTTATGTCTAATACTGTTTTATATTCGAAATTTCCTTCACTGATATATGATTTTAGACTACCTCAAGGGTGTGGTGAGATAAATATGATCACTCCACCCTTAACTAGATATCTCGAGTTCAAGCTTTGGTAGGGAGCATACCCTCTTTACTAGATCTTAGGTGACACGAATCTGAATTAGTCGAATCAGTGAGAACAGAATACTAGATGATTTCCTCTAAAAATATATATCAGGCCTTTTAAAATGACATGTCCTTGTTTTAGCATTACAGATGAGATGAAAAATATTATCTGCACATAATGTTACATTACACGTAAGAGAAGGAGAGGGGGGAGATTTGGAAGAAAGAGTGGATTGCTTTGCTCTAGTGGAACTTGAGACTAGTCAAGACATTGTTGTTTACTGGATCAGCCAAATGATCAAGAAGGTTTTGGTAAGGTCCAACACCAGTAACCAATGCTTGAATAAAGTATCCCAAAATAGCCAACATAGCAAGTCTTCCATTCTTAATCTCCTTAAGCTTCAATTCCTTCATGGACTTTTCATCTTTCCCAAATCCAAGTGGGTTAAACAAGGGGCCACCTGGGTATGCTGGGTCACCTGACCCACCCAAACCCTTTTCAAGGCCTAAGAAGTATTGTTTCCCCATTGAACCAGGTTTGGCCCAATCTTGGAATCTCCTGTGCTCAGCAAAGCCCATGAGTGCCATTTCAAGGACAAACAATGTGTAGTTGTCAGCCCAGTAGTTGTATGTTCCTGCTGGTGGGATAACACCAGTTTGGAACCATGCAAGTGCTGTTTCTTGTGGGATGAGACCAGCTTTACCAAGAATCTCTGGTGCTATTGACCCTACTGCTCCTAACATGGCGAACCGACCATTGATGACCTCGCCATATGCTAGCCATTTCGGCTCGATGAAACCTCCTGTGCCTTCAGGGTCCGAGAGTCCCAAGGGATCAAAGCCAAAGTCACCGGGAAGACTGTGGATCAACAAACAATCCTTTAGTAAGTCGACTGAAGATAGCATTTTAGGTTGAGTTCAAGTTATATATCATCTGTGCAATGTAAATAGCTGTTCTAAATCAACTTAACCTTTTTTACACTGTCAGTGCATAAAATAGACTATTGTCGATTACCTTATATGTGCACCATGAGTTTTTATACTATATTAGCGTTGATGCGCGACCTATATTTGTTATAAATCAACTTGCCCTTCTTTACATTGGTAGTGCATAGAACATAAATTCTTGTCGATTACCATTTATGTGTACCATGTACTGTGTGTGCAATTCAATTGATTGTAAAGTTATAAATCCATTTCCAGGATACTATATTAGGTTTGACCTACAAATTGTTGTAAATCAACCTAACCTTCTTTACACTGTCAGTGCACAAAACATAAACTCTTGTAATCGTATATATGCACCATGTTATACTATGTGTGCAATTTTCCAGGTTACTATATCAGGCTTGATATGGAGTGTTACCTAGATTTGTTGCAAGTTTATTTAATTTTTTCTTAGATTGTCAGTGTACAAAACATAAACTCGACAAGGCTATTGAAAGAGCTATTATAAGTCACACCAAGTCTCATAGATCTTACCTGCCATCTAAGTATGAAAGGCTTTGCTTGGATGCAAACCAGAGTTGCCTATTTGCTCCTTGCTGTAAAATAGAAGTAAGTGAATCAATACTTGTGTATTGTTTTAAAGTTTCCATCAATCATTCTATACAAATTTGTATAGTTTTTTTTTTAAAGAGTCCGAGCAACTTAGGTAACAACAACTCACACTTGCACACAAAATTCAAGATTAACTTATGTTTCACCACGCTTGATTATAATTCTGAGATAATTATATTTTTCGACTATCTTGCTCAGATTTTGAAATAATGTTGATGACTTTTTTCGAATTCTTCAAAAGTAGTGTATTTCTGGAGATCCCAATAAGTACACACATCATTTTTGAAGAGTTTGAGCAACATAAATTCCAAAATATCCTTGTTTTGAATGAAATGACCCCGAGTACAGAAAATTACCTTGACTGGTGGAGTGGAAGCCGCCCTTACAACAAAAGAAGCTTTTCTAGTAACAGATTGTGAAATTCTTGATCCAAGAATTTGTCTTGCAGCCTCAGCTGAAGTGCTAATTGATGATGAAGAGATCAATGCTTGAGTTGCCATAATTTTTCTTCTCTTTTTTTTTGTTTTTGTTTTTTTGAGAAGAAGAATAATATGAACACTTAGCTCCACAAGAATAAATTAAATACAAAAGGTGGCAAATAAGGGGACAAAGTATTTTGTGGGGCTAAGTGAAAAGAATGAAATTGTGGTGGATATAACAAGTTGTGAATATTGAAGATAAAGTTGTGATCTTGTGGACAAATGAGAAGTGAACATGTGGATTCATTAAATCAGATAAGAGATATTATATTCCTATAGTCACAAATGAAAATCTTAGATACTCTTGTTTGGTGTTGCCACCTGCCTTCTCATAGATTTACTAGTGTATTTGTGGTTCTTATGATAACTTCAAGTTAATACAACACACAAGGCGGAGATATACGTATGTTACATGTTTAGCATAATTCAACAATTTTGATTTAAATTCTGTATTTGCATTAGAAAATTCATTAATAATGTAGAACCCAACAATGTAAAATGACTAGAATTAACGACAAGCTTTAGATTTTAACTATGCTTCTAACGGTATAATGATAACTGAATCATGAACTATATATTTAATAAAAAATTTTAATATAAATTTATATATATAATTTGGACAAAAATTACTATATTCACATAATATCTTTTAACCTACACAATAATTCAGATGTTAAACGAAATGCTAGTTAAAATTTAACTTCCCGAGTGTTAAGAAATTAACACATAAAATTTAGTGATCTTAATGATATTTCACTCATAAGTCATAAGTGTTGATGATCAATTAAAATTTAATCAGATAAATTCTAACAAATCATTATAGCTTGTTGTTAAAGTTAACTCCGATTAATATCAAATAAAAATTCTTGATGATTGCCCGAATCTTATTTAAAATTTTTAATTTACCATCCATTAGGTGCGAAATTTTCAATGTATATATATCAAACACCGAGTGGGGAACAAATGAGGCTATTTTACTAAACGTTTCCATTAATTGAGTTAAAATTTAAATATGGACACCGAAAAGATCCTATTTATGATCCGACCCGATTTATGATCCGTAACGCGTAGATACTTGAAGGATCCAACCACCACTTTCCAATCGGGTCGAACCAGAAATGATGCTCCGGTTACTGAAGCACGGGAGAACTCCGGCGGATCGCCTTTCCCGCCGATGGATGAGCAGCGGCAGTCATAGCAAAACAACGGTGATGAGCTTCGGTGACGGAAGCCACGGAGCATTGGGCCTTCCGTCGTCCATCATTGGTATGGGCTCCGACGCTTACGAGCCTACTCCTATACCGGGTCTCCCGCCGGACATCGTTACCGTCGCCGCCGGTCACTTCCACTCCCTCGCCGTTACTTCTGAGGGACATGTTTGGGCTTGGGGACGTAACAATGAAGGCCAGCTTGGCCGTGATCCTCTTTCTCCTAGGTGAGTTAATCAAAAACACACATTATCTGATTTTTCGAGTTTTATATCTGAACTATTAGGTATGCAAGTTTCCTAATCAAACTATCACTGACTATTTATCAAAACACGATTGTTTTTCCGGCATGAGATATCACCATTTGATAAGCAGTTGTTAATAGTTCATATAAGAAATTCACATACATAATAATTTCAGTATGAAACTCGAAAAATTGATTGGAATACTTTAGGTGTGTTTTTAACCTTATATGTTTGTATATGTATGTCACTGATTGAACAGGCAAAAACTTGTAGCTTACTGATCAGTAACTGTATTGAATTGTGGCTTGATATTGTGTAAATTTGACAGTGTTTTATGTGTCATATGCTTGCTTTCTATGTCTGTTAGTAGTGTAAGGTGAAGAAAATTGTGTATTTCGTTGTATTCGTTAAATGGAATGTGCTTCAATTTCGAGTTAGTAAGAGGTCAGCTGTATGTGGAATCCTCTGTTCTATTCAGTTTTATTCGATGTGTGTTCTCACAAGTAACAAGTTTGGATTGAGAAGGATTCATTATAGTTAAGCAACTATTATGTTGGTGTAATCCTCTTCAAAGAAAGTAGCTTTCAGATTAAATCTGGCAATTTCGTGTTTATGGCATTGCGAGGAACTGTAAAGAGGTTGTTTGAGCTGAAGATTCATATATCTGTAATGCAGTTATGCCATTGCTTGTGTATATAATTTTTTAGTCCACATTCATGTTTCCACCATCATTGATAAGGAAATGTAATCATTAAACTGATTTCAACATAAGCGAGTCAAGTGTGCGTGCAAATGTAACATATGAAAGAAAGCTCTGGAAGAAGACTATACCTTGAGGCAATTAACTTGCTTTTGCGTCTTGAGTAGACTGGAGAACTCTGGCGATTTGTTGTTTCTTATATAAATGATTAACATTCCAATAAAAGCTTAATCTGGCCAAAGCACGATCCTCGCAATCTGATGTATGAAAACCATTAAGTTCTGCCAACAGAACATTGTAACAGTAGTAGACAAGTTGTTTGGTCAACCACACAACCTCAGCTTAGTTCCATAGTTTCACAGTAGCTGTAAAGAATGTTGCCATGATAATGCCGAGTGCCAACTGTAACAGATTTCTTTACTGCTGTGAGAAAAGAGCTATTTCTCTTAGTATCCAAAGTTTTTGTGACATCCTAGTTTATCCTATTTGTTTGTGTGTATGACTCTAGAAAGGTACTAGAATTAGGTTTCTCAACTGTGTTAGCCTATGTTGCCCGGACTCTCCAAAATTGTTGCCGCACCCGTGTCGGATTCTTCAAAATGCACTACTTTTGTAGTATCCGACATGCACCCATAGACATTTTTGAAGAGTCCGAGCCACATAGGTGTTAGCTATCTCTGTGCTAATGATAGGAAACTAACCTCTTCCTCTCCATATGCTGGATATCCAGATGAAGTGACTATTGTTTTCCAACGGATCTCATGTATTTCCTTCTCTGTCCTGTTTTCACCCTGTCTTGCTTTTCTTCTTTTACTTAGGGTTGGTTTGGGGTTGTAGGGTGTTTGTATTACTGACATGGAAATCCTTTTTGTTGAGCTTGTTCAGAGAAACGTGGAATGAACCAAAAAGAGTAGAAGGACTAAATAAAGTAAGAGTTCAAGCCGCATTTGCATCAGGTGTCATTTCTGCCGCCATAGGAGATGATGGATCTCTGTGGGTTTGGGGAAGTTCTAAGCGTGGGCAGCTTGGTCTTGGCCAAGGAATCACCAACGCTGCATTACCTTCGAAAATTGAAACACTTTCTGGAGAAGAGATTGTTAAGGTGGTCATCCAATCATGCTTGAGGTAGAATAAGTTTTACTTGTCAAAGAAATAGGTGGAAGAAATTTTACTGAGAACACATAATGATATAATGTGCAACAATAATAACCAAGTTAAGTAGATGGTGAATAATGTTGAACTGTTTAGATTTTTTTATTTTTTTGGAAGTGTAGGCGTGTTGTCAAATCATTTGATGTTGGCAGGTCTCATTAGGTTGGGGACATGCTCTTGCACTAGCTAAGAATGGGAATTTGTTTGGCTGGGGATACTATGCAGATGGTAGAATCGGTAAGATAGGAAGAGAGTTGGAGATATCTCCACTGGAATCAAATAGTACTAAACTTAGATCAAGGGGAGAATCTTCTGCAATTGAAGCTGCTGCGAAGTCAGTCATGGAAGCTATCGAGAAGGAAAAGGATATGCCTATAATATGGGAGCCCGGTTCAATTGAGGAGCTACACGAGTTAAAAGTTGCAGATGTAGCTTGCGGACTTGATCACTCTCTTGTCCTTTGCCGTAAGTCACATTCACTAATGTGTAAATACTTGAAATGTATATGAATGTATGTTGATGGTGGTTTATATTTACTTATTTTAGGTAATGGGACACTCTTTAGTGGCGGAAGCAATGTGTATGGCCAGTTAGGAAGAGCGATAAAAGACTTGGGAATGCAACCCGTTGATATAAACTTCCTTCCTCTCTCTATAGCTTCGGGTCTTGGGCATTCTTTGGCAGTTTGTAATGATCCTTCATCAGAACCAACAGGAAATGCAACAAGTGTTGTATCATGGGGATGGAACAAAAGTTCTCAACTTGGGAGGGAAGGTCCAGACAACATTCCTCAGGTTGTTGAAGGGCTGATTGGCGAATCACCTGTTTCTGTATCGGGAGGACGGGCACATTCCCTTGCTCTCACAGCAAAGAAAGAGTTATGGGCTTGGGGCTGCGGAAGGAACGGGAGGCTTGGATTAGGCAGCTCTGCTGATGAAGCGGAACCAGTGTTCGTTGAATATTTGGAAGGTTCTGAGGTTATTCAAGCTGTTGCAGGTCTGGATCATAGTCTTGTTCTAGTTGGTGAATAAATCTTTGATTTCTTATTTCTTCTTGTTTTAGATAATCTTTAGGGCTCGTTTGGTACAAGGTATAGGGAGAACTGATGTTACTTTTATCCTACATTAAGGGTAGAATAACAATCCTAGGATAACTTGTTCCCCAACCAAACCGAGCCCTTAGAATTTTAAAAACACCATCAAGAAATAAAGAAGTAATGCTTGGGAAATTGTTCTCAACTATTAGTATTCTTTTGTCTTTGAATGACAAATAGGATCCTGCTAATGAAGACAGATGCTATGATCCTACGAAAACGAGTGCCTCCTCTGAGGATCCCTCGCGACAGGTTGATGAGCTTTTAGACAATTCAATATGAACTGACTTCAGAAGCATCGAGCCATTTGTAATGCTCGTCTTTGAACGAACTGAAAGGTATCTCTTCGACTCCCTCTGACTCTGAATCTCAAAAGTTTGCAGGGCTATCATCTAACTGTTTCTCATCTTCTATATCCACCTCCAAAATTTCCTAAAAAGAAAAAAGAAATAGTTACAGAGTTGATTGAAAGAAATAAACACTAATATTTATAGTATATACTTACAGGGATTCTTTGCTTCAAGTAATTACCAAGTCTTGCTACAACAGTAGAACGTGTATGCCAAAACTTGCCACTTAGTCTAAGTTTCACATAAGGTCCATCCACTTCTGCAAGTTCTGCTTTTCCTGTAAAACATTTTATTTCCTCTTTTGTTCAGTCGAGCGTCTATCGGAAATAACCTCTCAGGAAAAAGGTCACGTTCATATTGCTATCTTTCCAAGACTTCACGTGTGTGATTACACTAAGTATGTTATTGTTAATACAAAAAAGAAAGAAAAAAACAAGATTTAATTTTCATTATTCATTTGATGAGAAATCACCTGTTATCCCAACTGTAGTATCAAAAAGTTGTGCCAACTGCAGAATTCAAACAATAAAACAAATAATGAGTTGATTGATAAATCCAGACACAAGAACTGGATATTTATTGAGATTTTAGTAAGTTTTTTCATATATATATTTATACTCCGTATCAATAGTTATGAGTTTAGATGAACCAAATAGCTAAAGGGATGTTACATCTGAGTTTGAATCCTGCCCGTAGACAGGAACGTGGTATTTAAATGGAGATGGGCAGAAAGCCAAAGATGAATTCAGATTTGAAGTTTGTGAATTCGGAAATCTACCACAGCCTACTTGATATACTAGGTTGCAAATATATCATTTGTAGTCCTATATTAGATTTTTCAACACATGCAAAATCTGAGTCAAAAGCTGGTGAATTCACATGACCTTTAAATTTCTTTTTTGTTTTCTTTCCAGTGTCCATTATCTTATATTGGGGTTTAACTAAATCGGAGAACAGAAAGTCTTACATTAGGATAAAGTCTTCCATAAGAAAGACTACTTTGTACCAAGTAGGATTCGCTTGAACCCAAGACATCTTATTACTCCCTCAATCTCTAATTACTTATCAAATTTTCTTTTTTTTATTTGTCCCTTTTTACTTGTCCATTTTGACAAATCAAGAAAGGACAATTTATTTTTTACTTATTATACCCTCAATTAATTACTTTCAAAAGGTGGAACTTCTTGAAAATCTTAAATTTTTAATTCATCGACTTCATAATTAATAGGGGTAAAATGGTAAACTCATTATGTCAATATTTTCTAATTGGTCTGCGAATTCAAAAGTGGACAAATAATTAGGGACAGATGTAGTAATGATAAATAAACGCTTATCACTCCACCACAAATCATTATTGGTGAATGAACCCATAACTTGTCAGAGAATGAACTTATTATCCACCGACTTTTGAACCGTGTATTATAAGGATAAAATATTTCCCAATTATTAAAACAAATATATTGAAAAAAGAAAAACAAGAAATGATATACCTCAGCCTTTGCATCTTCTAAGACTTGGATAATGTTGTCTTCAGTCAAATCAAGAGGTGAAAGTGAAGCTGATATTCTACACAAATATGTAGTCCTTTTTTTTCTAATTCTTGAGGATGATAATCTTAGACTTGTTATGCCTCCATTTTTTAATTTGGAGGCACACACAACATTTTGGAAATTTGGTAGCAATTGAGAAGCAAAAGTGGTGAATTTAGTTGTTGATGATGATGATAAATGTTGAAGTTGTAGTGCCATTTTTTCTCTTTTTTTTTTTTTGGAGTTGTTGTTATCCTTTCTTGTTTCTTGAAGAGGGAATTTGTGGCTAGAAGCTATTGACTCAACAAAAGGCCTTTTTCCATTTTAAAAAAAAAATAATTCCCTTGTCTTTGTTTAGATATAAGTTTTTAAAAGAGTCTGGTAAAATAATTTCTCTATCCTACTAATATTATACGGGTAAAGTCTATGTATATCTTATCTTCTTCATATTTTACTAGTGAGATTACATTAAATATGTTTATGGTAGTGTTTTATAACTCAGGTTCAACTTTAGACTAGATGATTTGCGAGGTTGAACCTGTAAATGATGATCTTGAATTTTTATATGTTAGAAGATCTAAAATATTAAAAATAAATAAATAAATAATAAGGTTTATTAGTTACAAGGACAAAAGTGAGCTAAAAAGGTAAGTGAAAGAAATATTTTTAATAACATTGACGAATAAAAAGTATATTTAGACATTTTAAGATAGTCCAAAGATATTTTTTGCCCTTTTATATTTAACGAATGATCTTTACTTGAAAATTTGTTGGGCAAGTTTATTATTGCTCCCATTGGACATAATTAGTTTTGAATATCCCAATCTATGCTTCATAGGCAAAATAATTAGAATTTATACCTAATGAGCAACATAAGCAAATTATAGTGGTTCTCTGAAATACCTTGAGGAATGTCTAATGATTAATAAAATTATTAAAAATTAGGTTTAAATTTCAACTAAGACATAAAATTATGTAATTTATTTCCATTCAGCCAAATTGTGGCGGATAAAACTATCTGGTAGTTATACATATTGGTGAAAGATAACAGATATTTCATAAAATAATTAAAAAATAATGTGCAAGTTGATCCAAACATCAACTATAATAAAATTATGTAATTTCTTTTCATTCATCCATATTTTGGTGGACAAAATTATTTGGTATTTATATATGTTGGTGAAATGTAGCAGATATTTCGTAAAATTAATAAATAAAAAAATATGCTAGTTAAACCAAACATCAACATTATAAAATTGTGTAATTTCTTTCCATTCAGCCAAATTTTGGTGGACAAAACAATCTGATATGTTGGTGAAAGATAATAAATAGCTCATAAAATTAATCAATGAATGTGCAAGTCGATCCAAACAATAACATTATAAAACTATGTAATTTCCTTCCATCCATCTAAATTTCAGTGACAAAATTATCTGATATCTATATCAAAGTAACAAATATCTCAAGAAATTAGTTGAAGTGTGTACAAATTGATTTAGACACCGTCCTTATATATATATATATATATATATATATATATATTCTCCATAATGTATCAAATAAATTATTAAGAGATCTAAAGGCAAACTGGCTCAAGGCATATGAAATGAAGTATTTTTTTTTCTTCTATATATGGTATCCATAATGCATAGTTATCAAGGTACATTAATATGTTTGCATAGAAATGTGTGGAAAAGCTTTAAATTGCATTAAATTTTCAAAACTACCCAACTTCTCATCTAAAAAAATTTCATTAATAAGTAGTGGAGAATCCATCACTCCAATCTCCCCCTCTCACTTCAATTTATTTTCTCTATTTTCCACAATATCTTAGTCCAAGTGTGTCAAGAAAAAGATTATTTTTTTTTATCAATTATGGGAGATTTGGCACAAAAAAATGTTGTGGAGAGTGAAAATAATGGAAGCAATATTGGTGAAATAATGTTGAGGTTGTTTCCTATGGCATTATGTGTAGTAGCACTTGTCATCATGCTTAAGGATTCTCAAACCAATGACTATGGTTCACTTTCTTACTCTGACCTTGGAATTTTTAGGTAACTATATTTTTCGATTTGTTTAAGTTTTATGCATTAACGATAAAAAAGGTTATGTCATTTTGTCTTTTGCATATTCTTGATATCATCCAGATATCATCTAGTTAGGTTTTTTCAGTATTAACAACGTGGAAGAAACAATCAGAAATAAGCTAGCTATAATTATGGCTTCGATCACTATTGTTACGAAACAAGATTATTTTTGTGTCATGAAAAAAACTATTATACAAATCGAGTTTGTTTTATTGCCTTCATCCCAAACGTCCCAAAACTAATGGAAAATCTATTATTCGTTAATAAGAGTAACATTATTTCGAAACTCTATGAACACACAAAAGAATCATGCAACACAAGATATATAGATAAATCTCTACGATAAACATTAATCGCAAATTTGATAGCGGTGGGGTACTAGAGATCATTACTTTTGTTGATAACGTCCACATATTGAATGATTTGAAAAGTTATAAACTATACTCAAAGATCTTTGATTAGATACTTTAGTCCATCGCGCAATTGACTTAGCCCTAGGGATCTCCTTAGACTCTATATATTACTTCCAACCAATGAATATCATATATATGTATATATACGAAACAATATTTTATATATTCGTTATCACATTTTAACGCCTTTAAATGTAACGAAATTTTTGAAATCGATACATGTAACTAGGGGTGTATATAGGTCGGTTTGGTTTGGTTTTTATTTAAAAAAATCTAAACCAATTATGTCGGTTTATTAAATCTAAAAACCAAATCAAATCACGCAAAGTCGATTTTTTTGGTTTCGGTTTTAGTCGGTTCTTTCGGGTTTTTTACAACTTCGAATTTGAAAAACTATAACAATATAATTGTAACTTCAGATCTTAATACAAAATAAAATATTTACAAATTTTACAAGCCCAAATTTGAAATAAAATATATAAACATTGAAAACTATAAACTAACTAAAAATATATTAACAAAGTAGATTATAAATAATATTTTTTATCTATAAATAAAATAAAATTATATATATATATATTATGTCGGTTTGGTTTGGGTTCGATTTGACTTTTTTTCTTTTAATACCAAACCAAACCAAGAGTGGTCGAGTTTTTTTTTCAACCGTCAAACCAATCAAACCAAACCACAAATCGGTTTTTTTTTTTTGATTTGATTTAATTCGTTGATTCGGTTTGACTTGTACACCCTACATGTAACTTAGTATTATTGGTGAAATATTGAATGTGGTGCAGGTACTTGGTACATGCAAATGGAATTTGTGCAGCTTATTCCCTTTTATCAGCTATAGTTGCAGCTCTTCCTCGTCCTACAACATTGCCTAGGGCTTGGACAATCTTCCTCCTCGATCAGGTTATTAATTTCCCATTTATATATTCCGCATCATCGATAATTGTGTCAGAAAATTAATCCACTATTTACATAAAGATCCCTTTAAAGTTATCAGATATAATAAAGAAAGTAAGAAGGGATAAGGTACTACGAAAACATAAAGCACTTAAGATTGTTATGACGTTGGAGAAATGATAGTTAGCCTCCAAGTACAAAACTCAAAGTTTGGTGATAGTTCATAATAAGTGAAATTAGTAACTATACTATAATAAGTTAATTACATTTTACCAAAAAATTAAATAAATAAGTATATAATACATATAAAGCTAAATCATTTTCTAAGTGCTACTTAAAAATTACTTGTAGAAATAGAAGATAATTTAGTCAAAGAACCCTTTTATGATTAGTGGGGGAAAAGATCTTACATTTCTCTATTGAAACAAACTCTCAACAGGTTCCCCATGCCCATTAATTCAATTATTGTAATTGGCATGTATGCACATCTAGATACCTCAACTCGTCTTTACTATGTCAGTTAAACACTCCAACTTACAAAATCATCATCTAGACACCTCTAAAATTTATGTCACTTCAACATCTGGTGTCAACGATTATTGTAGTGTTTAGTTGTCAGTTTAGGTCAATTCTAGATATACACTCTCAAAGTTAGAGTGCTAACAAGTCCAAAATCGAGTGTTTGGTTTATTTTTCTCAATTGCTAAAAGTTTTACTATGTAGATATTGACATATATTATATTGGCTGCTGGAGCTGCATCAACAGAAGTGATATATTTGGCATATAAAGGGGATACTGATGTTACATGGAGTGAAACTTGTGGTTCTTTTGGTGTTTTTTGCAAAAAGGCAACTGCATCTGTCTCCATTACATTCATTGTTAGTCTTTGTTATGTTGGTATTTCTTTGCTTTCATCTTACAGACTTTTTAGCAAATATGATGCACCAATTGGACAAAACAACAACAAAGGAGGTATAGAGATAGCTAATTATTGAGATCAAATGGTATGTAGTCACATGTTTTCAAGATTTGATGTTGTGTAATAAATATTACTTCCTCCGTTTCATTTTATATGATGTTGTTTGATTAATAGCTCAAAGTTCAAGAAAGAAAGGAAAAAACATAGTATCTCAAGACTCGAACTTGAAATAGATTTTCCACAGTAATAGATCACAAGACATAGTTTTTAAGGAATTTCTACACTATTCAACCACGCTGAGTTCAAGTCGAAGTTGCCATATAGACTTAACAACATGAAGCCATGAAGACATCACACGCATAAAGGTAAAAACACACAATGGCCACGCTGAAACGCATGATTTTTAACAGTAGCTATTACGTTTTTAATATCTACTTCCATGAGAGCAGAGTACTTGCTGTTTTTTTCCAAATGACTTCACGAATCAACGAGCTTCATACTGCACGACTGCACCAAAACAATATAGCTTAGTGTACTTGTAGAAATAAAGAACTAAAATGAAAAGAACGCAGAAAGTGAGACATTGTAGGTTGGCCCAGATTTCAAACAGCAACAAAGTGAGATATTTCGAGATAGTGTCTAAATTCTGAGTTGTGGTAAAACAGATATTTCGAGATAGTGTCTACATTCCTGAGTTGTGGTAAAACTCCTACTAAGAAGATTCTTGTATTAGAAACCTTGCACTGGGGAATGGTTTATTTAGCTTTCGAATCTCTAGATTTACAACAAAGAAATACAACTATATGCATAACAACTATCTTAGGATTGCAAACTCGGTAGCTATCAATCAAAAAGATACAGTCCATTGGTGGACCTAGTGAATCAGCAGCAAATATGGGCTCACTTTCTTCCTTCGGGAATAGTTTTAACAGTTTAAAGGACATAAACATATTACACTAAGTTGATTTCTATTGCTAACAGAGGCAATAATATGCCATATCCTCTAACTTAAAACAGAATCTAATGAGACTGTTGTTGCAGCATATGGACCATTAAAATGGCAGGCTAAACGCACATACACAGATTAAACCGAAGCATATGTTCTAAACCAGATTCACCTAAAGATGCCCAAAAGAAAAGCTAATTCAAGCATGATATGCGACAGTATGGTTGAATACTATATGCAAATAAACGTGAATACAGTTTTATCAAAAAATATTTTCTTATCTCTTAACTTCCCTTTCAATCGACAGACAGCCACAACTAGTAATCAAGATAACTGCAACACTAAAAGACAATAACATAATAAGTTCACTAAATGAGGCAAATAACTTTAAATACGACTACTATTTAATTGTTGAAAAGTTCATGGGTTGTAGCAAACATTACCTAATAAACACAATAGTAAAAGATTAAAGACCATCATACTGATCACCAATAGAATCCTATGACTGTTCGATTTTCTTACATGTTCGCATCTCATCATTGCAATTCTAAGACTATTCTATGTTATGCTTGAGCCTTTTTCTAAGACTTCTCTTTAACAAAGATACTACATTGGATGCAATATTTACAACTCAATAGAAAGCACATCAATTCCATCCCCTACCATCCCGGAAGGCTAATTGAAAAGAGGATGCCACATGAAATTTCACTATATCAAAATTATAGCACCTTCTGAATTTCAGTTCACCCAAATTACAAATCTTTCAGCTCAAATAAAGCATATCAAAATCAAGCATGAAAAGGAAATAGTGAATACAGTAATGAAGAAGCCATACTAAAAATAAATGAGAAGAGAACAATAGAAACAACAACACTTCCATCTTTTGAACAGTAGAAACAACAACATTCCATCTTTCTAAGATCAACCAATTTACTCCAACACTTCTTTTACTCTCAATTGAATAACCTAACCAAGTTAGACAAACAAAACCATAAGCCTTAACCTACTAATCCATTCTTAAGAAACAATCCTTGTCGAAACTGAACCACTATAATATCAAAAGGGGTAGTTTCCTACAATGTCAAAAGTGTTTTCTTAACAACAATATCCAAAACACACCTTGACTAATTCCACTCTACCACCCACCAATTTAAGCACGGGATAGCATTGTTCACCTAGGCCATAACAGATGGAAACAAAACATGTAGTCTTTGAACCTAAAACCTCATGATCTTCAGTTCAACCCACTTTATTTCCCACAATCGAAATATAGCTATCTAGGTCAACTTGCTTGAACCTCAAATCAACTGATTTTTCTTATAACATAATGTCGAAACAAACATACTCAAATCCCTAACTCAAGTAATTTGTTTTAATTTATCCCAAATACCGCAATCAAGCAAACATTAACACATAAAACTCAGATTAAAAGGGTAACAAAAGCATAAAAGGAAAAATTAATACTTCTGCGAGTCCTCTTCTTGTAAAGGATACGATAACCACATTCACGGCACTGTATCACATCACCAGGCTTTAGGGTATTCTCCTGTCCACAATCTTTAAAAAAAAACAAAAAAACGATTAGCTCCATGACACGCTAAACCAAAATTAAACAAAAAAAAACAAAAAAAATATGAAAAAAAGTACCTCCGCAGATGTAGCTGACTGGTTCAACAGGTTGAGAATCCATTGATGATCAACTGTAAGCAGAGACGAAAAACTTGAAAGGGAAATTTATGAGGGTTTATAGGGTTTATATAGAGGGTTTTGTATGTGATTGGTAAAACTTGTTGGGCCTGGGCCGAGTTATCATCATCTAAATCCTTCCTTAAAGGGGTTGGGCTTGGCCCAAACACTATTTCACTTTATTGGTAAAAATAGCGTACACTAGCCACTTTTTGGTTTGATCTTAATTTTTTAGGACAAACAACGCAAATCTCATTAGTTCAGAGTGTAATCACGTGCTTTTTCATGTATATTTGAAAATATCATTCATGTAAGATTTCGGTCTCCAGATACATAAGATCAAAATTATGTGTAATTTTATTTCAGATACACATTATTCAAGTAGATTTACATATACGTGGTATACATTGGACTCTCTCACTCGCCTATCTCCTTTTTCGAGCGTGTTTCACCCTATGTATTTGTATTTTGGAAGATATTTGGTACCCGGTATCCTAGATATATATATCTAGTCTGATTCGCATGTATATGTAATACATTGTGACTCTCCTGCTCGCCTCCCTCCTATCGCGCTCGTTTCTCTCCCTATGCATATGTATTAATATATCTGGTAGCAAAAATATATGTATCTAGGTGGTAAAAATATAAATGTAATTAGGTAGTTTTCCATTTTTTTAAGGTGACGTTTGGCCATATTTTATTACTCATAAAAATAGAAAAATAGTCATAAGAAGAATCGTAATATTTAAGAGATTTGACATTATTAATTATTTCTCATTCTTTTATAATAGTTGCCCTTTAATCCTCATTCAAAAATAAGTATTCGTTTATATTAGATAGATAACGCATTATCTTATATAAACAATTAAATAATCGAATAATCTAACCAAAAAGAGAAAAATCGAACCAAATCGAATAATTTAGATTCAAATAGAATAACACTTTAATTCACGTTTGAACACTAGAAATAAGACATGTAATTGCTATAACAAATTAAATTATACAGATATATAAGTTAAATCCTCAATGGTAGAAATAGAAAAATCTTTCCTTTAATTCCACTGCCTATATATAGGAAAGTGTTTATTCAACATAATACATAACAAATAATTTCCATAAAGAAGAAATTAAAATCTCATTCACCCTTGTTTGAAAATATGGTGGTGAAGAATAATGTCAAAGTAACTAATTCTCTAAGACTAAACTCATCACTACCATCAAAATACAGGCATGTGAATGACAATTAAGACAAAAACTAGAAAGAAAGAAAAAAAGAAGAAAAAGGAATTAAAAAAAAAAAATCCTTTTCTCCTTGTGAATAAACATGGTATGCACTTGTTATAGTTTTAACCTATGTTGCTCGAATCTTCAAAAAAATATTGCTCTATTAGTGTCGGATGAACAACTGATAGTATTTTTAAAGAGTCTGAACAGCACGGATTTTAAGACTATGGTAGTGCTTTTATTTTCTTGGAGAGAATAGTATAGGCAGTTTTTGTAAGGCCATAGGCTTAGTAATAAGCTAAGATGGATCTAACTTCGGCTCCGAGGTATCGATCTCTTTCAAGTTTTCTATCGAGAGAAGATGAAATAACTGATACATAAGCTTCTTCCTCATTGATGGTGTCCAATTTTTTAGAAATTGGACATGGTTTAGGCAAAGAGATAATTTTTTGTGGAGCAATTTCTGTTGAGAATCTCATCAATTTAAGAATATTGGCCATAATTGTAATGTTGGAGAGGGGAAGAAATTGGTAGTAGTATATATAATAAGAAATTGGAAAATGTTGTGACAGGCCTTATCAACTTATTGTATTTATAGAAGAAAAAAAGTGAGAACTATTTATTAGGGGATATGTGTGGTTAATTAACTAGTACGCAATCACACAAATGAAACACAAAAAGAAAAACAAAAAGATAATATAAGTATTTAACGAGGTTTATAACCTACGTCAAACTGATAGAGTTTTGCACTGTGAAAGAGAAAAATCAATATAAGAACATGACTCGAAATTTGCAAGCGCATTGGATATTGTGATACTGTGGTGGGACCTGCTCTAGGACATTGCATCATTATGGTGAGACGGTGCTCTTGGATACCACTCACTGATTGCACTCAATCGATCTATTTAAGATTGTCATTAAATCTGATACAATCTTAGGCTTATCGATCCTTAACCCCCACTACTATCATATAGTTCAATCTCACGACACGTATTATTGTTTTGGCTTAACCGACAGTGGCAAAGTTTTCTCTCGGACTACACCATCATCAGACAAAAATGTGTGCATAGATACTTGTCTTATGAAACTCTTCACTTTCCTAATTCTTTCATTTCAAATGTGTGATACACTTAATGTCATGTGCAGTACTCGGCCAGTTTACATATTCTTGTTAGCCTAAAAGTTTGTCAGTTCTTCTTTTTGATAAAAAATTACGTGTCAAGTCAAAATCAAATTCAAACGAAGGGAGTATTCAAAAAAATTATTTCCATCGTGCACAATACGTTATTGTGTTTTAACATTACACACCAAACTACACAGCCGTCCTCTACTTTTTTTGCATTAATTGAATGAAAATGTCTTGTTTGGCCAAAATTGACTAAACAGGAGGGGACCAAAAATCAAATTCTATATTTGAAATTTAAATTTTCATTGGTAATATTTTCTATTACGAAAAATATATTACAAATACATACCCAAAGTTCAACAAGTTCATGATATGTATTATTCGTTTTGGTTCAAAGATTTCATGCATTTATTTATTGTGTTATGGCATCATCTTGACCTAAAAGTGTGTGTATGAGTG